CTCTCTCTCTCTCTCTCTCTCTCTCTCTCTCTCTCTCTCTCTCTCTATTTATCTATCTATCCATCTATCTATCTATCTATCTATCTATCTATCTATCTATCTATCTATCTGTCTCTCTATCTATCTATCTATCTCCTCTTTTTTTGAGTTGAATGATGTTGTGTCATGAGTTTGTCCTTCCCGTGAATGAGAATGAATCTGTGTGTTATCCTATGCGAAGGAACTTCTTTCGGAACTCTTCCATTAGTTTTTTGGGTAATCCCCAAGATGTCGAGGAACTGATCCTCTTGTCTTGCGAACGATGGATGTGTGTGTACACTTCCCTCGGCTGATTTATGACCTATGCACCCTTGTCATTTTTGCACCTTCCACAAGTGAATGTCTGTATGCCGATGCTTGTCTTTTTGCGTTGATTAGACTCAAGCGCTAGACGGGATTTTGTTCGATAATGCAAGAGTGTTTCTGAATGCACTGCGCATGCCATCTGCCTTATGTTGCGCGACATCTGCAACCGATTTACACGGCAGCCTAAAAAAACAAGGCGCCTCGGATCAACGTCGCGTTGGCTTACTAAACCTGAGTCGCGGGTCGGTCCCTCGGTAAAGTGCCTGATCAAACTGATAAGAGGTCTCTCTCTCTCGTGTCGAAAAAAATTGATTGGTGGTTGTGCGGGCGTTTTTCCTTGATGACGTCTCAGGATTTTTGCAATTGATTGACATGTGGACTGGCGAACGCCCTTCGATCGGGCGCCAGCCTCACGTATCTCCCGTGATGACGCGACCTTTTCCTTACGACGAGGAAAGGACACGTGTATGCGAGTGGGACGTACGAGAAGCTGTCGCACGGATCGGCGGACGATATTACTTCCCTCCTGAAAATCGTTGCTCTGGATTCGTGGATGCTCGTCATTATCGATACTCACTTTCCGCCTTACTCGATATTGTTGCCCTTTAACGAGCCGATCGTCATTCCGTGGGCGACAGTGGAACCCCACTGGCCTCGCACTCTGTGCACTGAGTGCCAGCGTTTCGAGCGCTAGGAATCCAAGGGTTTCCACTACCGTATACAAAGCACCGACGAACATAGAGAAAGAGCCACACGATTGAGACCCTCTACGTCGGACTCGGAACTGACAAGCGAGCGACGTCGTGACTTAATACGTAAGCGAGACACGCAAAGCGTGCCGAAGCCTTTTTGTTCTAAACGAAGGGCCGTAGCACGGTGGGAAGTCCGACAGTACTTTTTGGATTAACTTTGTAATCCTCTCTCGTTTCGCGATGAATTCGCGCGCGCATTCCGCAACGCGTGAAAAGCAACCGACTCACTTCATCGGACCGTCACGGGGGATTTCAGTTCTGTCTGTGTCCCCGCACTCAATTTCCCAAAAATCATTGGCATACCCCATCTTGCTGTTTTTCGGGGGCTCTTTTCCGCACCCTTAGCACTTCGAACGGAAGACAGCACAGGGGCGTGAGGTTGCGCGTCACATGTGCATCTGGTCATGTTATAGCGGGAAGTTCATTCCAATTTTGCAAATTTCGAGAGTGTTGTGGCGTTAGGGTATTATCATCGGACTAACCATCCCAGGTAAATTCAGGGCATCGTCACACCACTCTCGAAATGTGAAAAAAACAAAAATGTGGCGGGTGCATCTGACCATGTTCTAGCGGGAAGTTCATTCCCATTTCGCAAATTTGGAGAGTGGTGTGGTGATGCCATCCAGTCTCACACCGGGTGGCCTCGTCTAATCTGACATGGGGTGTCTTTCAACCCAGTGTAATGAACATGATTGTCCGCTGAAATTTTGTCAACGCTCACTCACAGGAACTTCCGTACACGCCCATACATGCGCAAAAGGAAGGGGAGAGGTAGTGGAGTGTCACACCACCCCATAGAAGAAACGCAGCGGAAGACTCGAAAGAGCGAAGTGACAGAATACACAACAC